AAAAACAAACAAACAAAACAAATCAACAACTTTATTGTGGAGAAAATGATGTGAACCCTTGTAAAATCATTGGTGTTAGCCACAGTAGTGAGCAATGCTCTCAGTGGCTATCTTCTGGGACTGGTATACAGACCAGCTTCCCCAGCAGATCTTCTACCTGGCATTTGTTACATTCCCTTGAAAAATCCCAGTTACACTCTGTCCCCCTCTCTGTGGCAGGAGAGACTTGAGCAGGTAACTTCCTAAGGTTAGTTCTAAGCACTCTGAAGACAAGCTGTTTTATCTCTGTCATGCACTGCCACTCCAGATGGCCAACATTTCTAGGCCCATATGCCCTAGCCCAAAATCTTCACTCAGTTCCAAAACAGGAGCCCTCAGTGACTCCTACATCCTGCAGTTACTATTGTTGACCCAGACAGGCATGAAAAACTAACAGCAAAAGTAGGATTTTCAGCATTTCCCTAAACTTGGTCAGGCTGTCCAACTTCTTGACACCAGGTATATTGCAGGTCATGTTCTTATCCATTTTTTTTGTGGTTTTGTTTTGTTTTGTTTTTTGTTTGTTTGGGGGTTTGTTCTTTTGTTGTTTTTTTTTTTTTTTTTAATATTGATTGCTCGTTCTTACTTTAATGCAGATTTCCATACAATAAGCCCACACCACACCTTCTCCTTCCTTAATACTGCCCTTTACTTCTCCAAGTGAATAGCCAAATTCTAAAGTGCTTCCTTTCTTGATCTGCTGGAGTAGAATGTATTTATGGGATTTGTAGTAAGAATGAAGTAAGGATATTTGCAATTTGACCTAGTATGTGTGCATTTCATTAATCCCCCTTCCATCACTCACTTAACCTTTATAGGTGTTCTTACTGCCTCTCATTCTATTGATTTCTGTCCATTTCTCCACTTTAGTGAGATCATGTGGTATTTTAAACCTGTCTTCCACTGTATAACTAGGTGTAGCGGGGGGGTAACTGACATCAATTTAAAGAATGAAAAATCACGCTGAACATCCAGGGAAAACTTCCTAATGGTGAGATCTGGTAGAATGCACTGCTGTCTCTACCTGGGATTGGTGGTTCTTGCATTATCATGTGCATTAAAACTGCACCAGAGGACTGTAAGATTATAGATTGGACAGAACAACCCTGAAGTAGGAGGAAAAAAGACAAGCTGCAGAGCATTGTAGCTTGCCTCCTATGGTAATCTCAGCCTGAATAACAGCAGCCCCCATGGAGACCTTACAGCAGACTGCCAGTACCTAAAGAGAAAAAAAGAAATCTGGAGAAGGCCTTTTAACAGGGACTGCAGGGACAAAACAGGGGGAATGGCTTTAAAATACAGGAAGGTAGATTTAGACTAGATGTAAGGAAGAAATGCTTTACAATGAGTGTGGTGAAACACTGGACCAGGCTGCCTAGAGAGGTGGTAAATGCCCCACCCCTGGAAACATTCTAGGTCAGGTGGGAGGGGGTTCTGAGCATCCTGGACTAGTTGAAGGGGTCTCAGCTCATGGCAGGGGGGTTAGAACTGGAGGAGTTTCAAAGGCCCCTTCCAAAACCAAAGCTATTCTATGATTATACAAAGAAAGCCAGAGCACTCTACAAATCCCTGACATAGGTAGTCAGAGCCTGAGACAGTGAGTATATGCCAGAGGACACATCACTTCCCAGTCCCCAGAGATGCCCATCACCTGCAGAAAGACAACACATCTAAGATCACAAAACCATCACCTACCCCACAACATAACTTTGGGAGTTTGATTCAATGGCATTGGTCAGTTCTGTCATCATCCTTCACTTCTTACAGAAATCACATTCTAGCAGAACAGTTAAAAACTGACTGCAGAAAGAAACCTGTTTGTGTCAAGGCACACATCAGAAAAAGGAGAATAAGACTTTCATTCAAAATACACTGCTGGATCTTAGGACTGTAAAGGTAACAGTCCAAGCAGAAACAACCACGTTCTTTATGCACCTTGAGTGAAATGGTTTAACTGCAAGAATGGCCAGAAAAAAGGTTCTCCTCCCTACTTTTTATGGAGAGGTTCTATAATATCTAGGGAACAGGGGAAGGAAGAAGCCTATTTTCATCTGAAGTTGGTACTGCCAGCAACCACTTTTTATTAAATAAGAACTTCTGTCAGCTCCTGGGAAATGGAAACATCATTTTCAACAACAAAACCCTACATATTTATCTCAAAAGCCAAGTAGGCTGGTAGTTATTTTGATTGTTTGGGGCGGGAGGCAGGCTTTTTCCTTTTCAGCTCCTTGAAATTCGTCTGCCATCAATAAGCAGATTTTTCAAAAACTGAAATTTCCCTCTAAGAAAATTTCAAAAGAAACATTTCCATCAGGTCTGCTGAACTAGCAGCAGCATAAAAATGGCTCAAAAATGGCTCAACTTCACAGCTGCTCCCCTGAATCTTCCTGAGAGCTGAGCAAGAAAGGAGAGCACTTCTCCATTTCTGATTTTCCATTAAGGAAGAAATCAGGAGATACTCATGTAATGACAGGGATGTACACAGGACAAAGGGCCAAATATGAACTTCACACTGTTCAAGAAGAAATGATTTTCTCCATGACAGAAGGTGAAGGCTACAAATTTGTCAGAAAAAGAGTAGCCAGAGGCTGATACAAAAGACTAATTCTCTTAGTAAAACCTTCAGAGACTATCGCAGTACGACTCTGAGGCTGGCAAACTGCTGGGGAAGATGAGTGCAGCCATCTCACGAGTACACTGCCTTTGGATTTCTTGACTGTGCTTTTCCTATACAGCACTTTTCATAATGCCCTCTGGATAGAACCATTGAAATGAAACTTATTGATTGAAATTCTGATCCAATGGATTTTCCACAAGAGATTTGTGTGAACAGGAAAGAGCAGGAACTGCTGACTGCTCCCATCCCCGTTCATTCTCTGCTGAACACATGCAGTAGGCTTGCAAGTAAATGTCAGTGCCCTGAGCTTCCAGAAATAAATTACCCAAAATTCAAATATATGGTACCTATTAGCACACAAATATGTGGTAAATATTACTGGTCCCTGAATACAGTAACATTATTTATGAGTTCCTGTTGCTTTCTTTTGTCTGCTTACCCTCTTTACCTCATTAACTGCACGCCATGTTTTTCGCCTTCGTTTCCAAAAGTGGGAAAATGGGAAAAACACATTCTGGGAGGAAGGCAAGATGGGAAACAGTGCTGGGAGGATATGATGTTTGCCTGGAAGAAAAATGCCAGGGAAGTCATGCTTAAAACACTTACAAAGTGCTATTAGAGACTGTGTATCTACCTCTAAAAGAAGAGTCCTGGATGTGAGAACTGCAGGACTCAGGACAGCAGGTCAGAAGATCCCCGAGGAGGCAATGAAGAGAGGTCCTAAGTGAAAAACACAGTGTGAACACACAGTCACCCACACCCAACACCACAAACAGCAGCTCACTGCCTTCCCCGAACAACTGTGACGCAGCCCCGGCACAGCCTAAATCCAGCATTTCCTTTCCACAACACAGGGATGGCCCTGTAAAGCCTCCTGTAGACATTTGCTTTTTGGTAGGGAGGTGGAGTGGGCTTTAGAAGCAAAATCAGCTGTCTCACCTCTCACAGCTGCTTCCTAGTAATGAAATTTCCTTTCCAGACTTCTTGTTTGTTGAAGTGGCGGGTGTCCTTTCTGTACACCAGACAGCGGGTCCTTGATTTTGACTATTTCATGTTGATGCATTTTACCTTGCTGCACTCAACGCTTCATTCTTCCCTCTCTAGATCTTTTTATAGTCAGACTGTCATGTATCAGTCAATGTTACGGATTAAGGTTGAATATATTTTGACCTGTCTGGGCCAGTAGAAAAGCATTTTAAATGAAGTCTTATTTATTTCATTTTCCCTGTCGACATTTGCTTTCTTTTCTCTTTCCAAGCTTACGGAATGGGACAACCTGACAGGGAAATTGTAGGATTTTAACTTGCTAGAATCCCTAAATAATTGTTGGATGTCATGGAACGGTTGTGAAGAGGAAAGGTCATCTGGTAAGATCTGTGACTGCACTGCAAGAAAGCATCAGCCCCGTGTTAATTAGACTGATGGAAAATATAATCGAAGATGCTACTGAAGCTCAGTTCCCTGCATCAAGCACATCACTTGTGCTTCATTCATACCACAACTGTTGATGGAACTGATTTCAGCTGCATGGAGCGGCAGCCCCAGGCCTCTGGGGAGCCCAAGGCCCGCACACATAGCAGCCGCTGGAGCCCGGCACTCTCCCGACTCCCCATCCCCAGGCGCTGAGGGGCTCGGCCCCGAGTGGCCGGGAAGCGGGAGGCAGCCGCTCGAGTCACGGCCTCTACCGTGCAGGTGACGGCAGAGGCCCGAGGACCTGAAGGAGCTGGGGTCACGGCCTCCGTCCCACCCGGGGTGAGGAAACTGGAACCGAGGCCGCGAGCCCTCTCCGTGCCGGCTGCGCAGCCCGGACCGGAACCCATCACACGGTCTACGCTCAGACCGGGCCCTCGCGAGCAGCGCCGGGGCAGCGGCCTGGACCGGGGCCGGGAGCATGCGCGAGTCGCGCGCGTCACGGGAGCGGGCGAGGCCGGCGGGAGCGCGGAGCCCCGGCGCGCCCCCTCTCTCTCTGCCTCCCTGTCGCCGTCGCGCCCGCGCCTCCATTCGGCTCTGCTGAGCGCTGCCCGCTCCCAGCCGCCGCCGCCCGTTAGAGCCCCGCCGCTCGTCAAGGAGGGGAGAGCACAGCAGAGGGAAGGACCCTCCCCTCGCCACGAACTCTCTTCCTTCTTCTTCTCCTCCTCCTCCTCCTCCTCCTCCTTCTCTTCCTCCGCCTCCGCCTGCCGGCCGGGAAGAACTCGCCGTGCCCGCAGCAGCCCCGGTGGATGCACTGAGCGCTCGGGCGCAGGGAAAGGGGCAGAAGAGGGAGCCGGGAGCCCCGCCGCTTAGGCGCTGCGCTGCCGGAGGCTCACTGCCATCCGCTTGAATTCTTTTCTTCGCCCCCCGCCCGCCGGTAGCTGGCTTCGCCCCTGCCTTCTCCTCCTCTCCGCCCGCGGGAGCCAGCCGAGGCGGCGGCGGGGGCTGCACTCTTTCCCCCTTTTTCCGCCTTTTTTTTTTTATTTTTAATTTAATTTTTTAATTTTTTCTCCGCCGCCATGGGATGTACCTTGAGCGCCGAGGAGAGAGCCGCCCTGGAGCGGAGCAAGGCCATCGAGAAGAATCTGAAGGAGGACGGGATCAGCGCCGCCAAAGATGTGAAACTCCTCCTGCTAGGTGAGAGGCCGGTCGCCCCTTCCCCTAACCCGCGTCCCCTCACCCGCCTCCTCCCCGGCGCTTATTCAGCCCTTCATCTCTCTTTCAACAGGAGCCGGAGAGTCGGGGAAAAGCACCATCGTGAAGCAAATGAAGTAAGTCCGGTCGTAGCGGGGGGGGGGGAGAGGGGCCAAGAAGGGGGGGAAGTTAAACGGCCGTAATAGAAGGGAGAGGGGTTTCGTTGAGGGGAGCGAGGGCCGCGGGCGCCATGTTTACCTGAGGGGACTGCGAGGGCGGGAAGGCATAAGGCGGGGGGAAGGCTCCGCCACAGCGGCTCACGCTGCTGTTCGGGGCCGATGTGGTGCTGAAGTATCCCCTCGGCGGCCTCGCCTCAACCGCTGAAGCGGTTCCAGCCTACCTTCCCCTCCCCGAGCCGTGAGGTGAGGCCCTGCAGATGTCCCCGCGAAGCTGAGCGCTGTCAGTTCAGCTTAATGTCGGTGTGTTATCTGCCCTGTCTGCGGATTCAAAGCAAGGCATCCCCATCACTTTTCCTGTGATTTCAGCCTCTCCTTTGAATTAGAGCGTGGCCGCCTATCACACTCAACCCCTGCCCTGGTGCCCGGCGTGGCTTCCAGAGCTCCCCTGCACATGCTCTGCCTGTGTTTAATTAGTGCAATAAACAGCAGTGAACCTCCCCCCCCCCCCCCCATCTCTTTCAACACTGCATCCATTAGGAAGGCAAGTGCAGGGGAAGGCTGACGATGAAGGGGTGGAGGTGCTCCCGTGGCACCGTTATGCCCCCTCCCCCCCCTTCTTTTTAATTAAAATACAGCGAAACACCACGGACTCGCATCGACACAGACATGACGGGCTGGTAGGAGGTGGGCGCCATCACAGGACAAGCCCCGGTGCTGGTCCGGCGTCTGGGTTTCCCCCGGGAGAGGCGCGGAGTGGCTGATGCTTTGCTATGCCGGTGGTTGCAGAGGGACCGGAGGCTGGGAGGGGCCCCCACGGGGTTGCTGAGCGAGGCGGGGGTTGGCAGAAGAGCTGGGTGTGGATGGGATGCAGGGAGCTGTATGCAGGCGGCCCTCCGCAGTTCCGGCAGCCGGAGCCTATGCAGGCGACCGAGCTGGTCCCGGCGCGGCTGCGGCTTTCAGGCGGTTCGCGTGGTGGACAGCGCCCAGGGAGTGCTCGAGTCGCCGGCGACGCGGCCGCTTCGGCGCCCTTCGGCTCCCGGCGACTGCCGAGCGTCGAGCTCGGCTGCCTTCGGAGAGCATTCGGAACCAGTCGGGGAGAAGCCGAAGTGGCTCGGAAATAGCCGAAGGGCCTCGTCGCCGCTCGGCAATATGGTGCCTTGCACACCCGTACCCACCCTGCGTGTGCGTGTGTGTGAGAGTACGAGTGTGAGTGTGTGCGCGCGCGCCGGATCCGGGCCTTCATCCCTGCTCGTCTCTAGCCAGAGTGGCTTAGCAGGTGACCCTGGTACTTCTGTATCAACTCTGCGGCTGCTGTGTCCAGCTCTCTGGAGGGGACTGGGAGCTAAGCATCATCCCTGCCTGAGGCAGTGCTTTTTCGAAGGCACTGCTGGCCTGGGAGGTCTGGCAGTGAGGAGTCTCATCTCCAGTGCAGCTTTTCCCACTCACATCTGTGTACCCTACCTGTGTAAAGGCTCTGAGCTTTCTCTTTCACAATTTGAAAGGGGGCTGTCCACCCTGACAGTTTGATTTGGTGCTGGGGCAGGGTGGGTTTGGTTTGCTCTTGTTTGTGGAGGAAGGGTGGATCAGAGGAGCTGTTACTGCAGATGAACACCAATAAATTATTTAGTCTCTATGAACTGCTTATGCAGAAGCATGTTGGAATGGTGGGCGATGCATTGTGGTGAAAGAAAAAGGCTGTAGGTACCGCAGTAGCCGTGCAGACACATGGAGCCCATAGGTGGGAGGGCAGGTGGTGAACACACTGGCTTACACAATTAGTGTGCAGTGAGTCTTGTCTTCCAAAGAGCAGAGCTCTTCTTTTTAATCTTGATACAAATTGCATGAAGATAATAACCTGTTTGCTGGACTAGACTGGTATGTTGAAGACTGAACTATGCCTTGATATATATATAAAAGTATATATGTATTATTTTTATATTTTTATATATATATATAAACATTTTTTCCATGAGACAGTCTTGAGGTAACGCATGCTAGGTTTGCAGCTTTGTACCTGGCTTGAAAATGCCGGGGAGGCTGCTATGGTGAAGGGGTGTAGTGTTGGCAACTGGGAGGCATCGTCAGTATGGAAACTCCAGTGAAGTGTGCGGAGGCTGGGGTGGGGACAGTGGTGTTGCTGTGAGCACAGCAGCAGGCATCTGGAGAGAGCCGCGCAGCTGCGGGTGCCAAGAAAAGGGTTGTGCAGGGAACAACTCAGGGAAATTAACATTTCTGAAAATTAGTTTAAATGTAATGTAGGCATTAGCATTTCACCTGGTCAGGCTTCATTAGACAGGCTTGTGGAGAACCTAATGAATTCTTAATAAAGATTAAATTGCATGTTCATTAGATTTTGATGAAAGAGACTGCTATTTTATTTTTTTTAATACTGTGTTATTGGTGAGCTTCTACATACTGAATCTCATCCCCATGAATGGCTAAAGCAGCTTCACACTTGGTTATTGCCTTGAAAAGAAGCACTGGAATCTGTAGACAGATGAGAAAATGCTAAGACAGAGAAACAGAGAGCAGGCATTTTTAGAGAGGACTACAAAAAGGTTATGCACTGTCCAGTTAATCCTTGAAATACTAGGTAGTGGGACAAGTGACAGGTAAAAATTACAGTAACTTGAGAGCGTATTTGAGCCACGATGGGGATTAGGATTTGTAAAATCAATTCAGGATGTTTTAGTGAAAGATTTGGATAGCTTTCAGCTGGTGAGTGAGGCGTTACCATCTAAGAAGGAGGTACTGGCGAATAGGAACGAGGTGGAACTAGAGGTTAACCTCTACATCCCAGACAGTGGCAACACAGTATCTGCGGCGCAGGCCTGGTTGTGAAAAAAAACAAGCAAACCTAATTAGCCAAGGTGGGTGTAGTCAAGGGCTAAGGATATCAAAACGACCTTGGTGCTAGCCAAAATGCCATCCTTAGCCCTTGACTACACCCACCTTGCCTGATGAGGGTTGCGCCTTGTTTTTTCACAACCAGTCCTTCAGCCCAGATACTTTCACCTACGCCTCAAAATGCAGTGTTGGGGCCAACCTAGTGAAGCGAACAGCCCCAAATGATGCAGTTGTGTCATGCAGGCTAACGAAACTTCAGGATGTGCTGCAGTGTTCAGTCAGGCTGTGACCACATTCTGTTTTCACTCAGCTTAAACTAAAAACAGCTTTAATGATGGAAATATGGGGCTTCCGTTGAAGACCCAAGACAGAGGGTGAGAGATACCAGGTGAGAGAAGTTAGTCTTTCATTCCCAGCACGCTATCTCAGCAAATTAACTTTGATGTAGGACTGTAACAGATGTCAACATTTTTTAGATCTTTTACCTGTAAATAAATGTTGAGGACATGCAGAATTTGCAGTATGTGACCTTCCTTTCTGGAATACCTGGCTTGTAGCATGGAGTCAAGACTGCTGTTTTTCTAGGATATTTTTGTGAGGGCTTAAATTCTAGGAATGTGTTTGTTCATCAAATGGCCCAAGCATATCTCCATCTGTTACAGCTCAGCAGAATATTTAAATATACCCAGTGGTCCAGTGGTGAGCAGGGATGGACTCCTCAGGCAGGGGCACCATCCACTGCCATCAGTATGAAGCTTCTAGGGAATTCAGCATTTAATCAGGCCAACACAGGCTGAATTAGCTGGCATGGCTTCAAAAACAAGGTCCAGCTACCTACTCAGCGTCAGCAGTTCTGAATGGTGAGTCGGGGCAGTACTTCACCTTCCCAAGCAAGGGGTGGTGGTGGTGGTATTCAGGGGTAAACATGCCTTCAGCTGCCCACAGGAAAAATCTTAGGGTTTGAGGTTTGGTTTGGGATTTTGCCTCTGCAGAAGCAGCAGCTTCTGTCCCCTCCTTAGCTGGGAACAGAGAAGTTTTTCCGGCTTCCTTTCACAAGATGCTGGAGCTTTCAGCCCTGTATGTCCTCCAAAACAGCCATGTCTCACTTCACCAACAATGCAGGTGGTACCTCAGTTGATAAGCTTCTTTGCTGGGCCATTTTTTGGCAAAATGTTTTTATGTTATGTATAAGAAGGATGAGAATATTCAGTCAGGAAAAAAATACACCAGTGTACAATGCTTATCTTTAAATATCTACTATCTGCTTCCCAACAGCCATCAGTCCCATTAGCCATCTGATATATTGTTCTGACCTTTTTCAAACAGCCCCTCAAAACAGCCTCAGGCTCTACTTGCTGTCTGTGTAACTGAATTACTTATAATCTAATGAACTTCTCCAGAGTGAGAAGCAGTCTCCGCCCACTGGTTTTAAAGCCCATCTCAGCAATTTGATGGCAAATGCCATTGAAACCAAGCAATGTGTTGTGCACACCCACTTGAGTGCTCTTTGATGCATGTCTGTGTCTCAAAGCTGTGATTTCACACTTTGAGCCCCTTCCCCTGGGAATACCTCACGTCACAGGGACTTACAGCATGGGACTGCTTCGCCTCCTCCACAGTGAGTCCCTGGGGACAGAAATGCCAAGTGTGTCTTCATGGCCTGTCCTACTTCTCAGAGCAGTTTTTTGGTGCCATTCAGCCCTTGCTCCTTTCCAGGAACTGTCTGGTCACTGACAGCCCAGAGGCACGAACCTCACTAGAGCATCAGGTTAGGCAGAGCCATCCCCATCCTTACTTGTCTCCTGCTCTGTTTTCCAGGATTCCTATGTCTTAAGGCCCAATGACAGTCTCTCCTGGGATGTGTTTGAAGTGGGTTTCAATAAGCAGGGGAAGGAGCTGCAGCCCTGGATGCTGTGGGTGCTGTGTTCCATGCCCTGCAGTGGAACAGTGCAGGGTGGTTGCCTCTGAACCAGGCGGAATACGAGCTGTGAGGAGAGAACAGTGAGGCTGTACATTTTGGCTTATAGTTGCAAAGGGAAGTCATATTTTCAGCACTTATTTCCTTCGTTTTTGATTATTAATTGTGCTTATAAGCCAAAACATTAACAACC